AGTTAATTTTTAAGCATTCTGTATAAGTGAGTTCTCACTATGTAGTCCAGGCTGGTCTTGAACTCCTGGCCAGTGATCCTCTTGCCCTAGCCCCTCAAAGTGCTGGGGTGATAGGTATAAGCCATGATGACCAGCCTTCTCTTTTTTTTTTTAACATAGGCAATTACAGCTATACATCTTCCCTCTTTCCATTGCTTTAGATGCATTCCATGTTTTTGGTATATTGTGGTTTTGTTTTCATTCATCTTAAAGTATTTTCTAATTTCTCTTGCAATATCTTCTTTGACTTACTTATTTAAGGGCATGTTGTTTAATTTCTATATATTTGTGAATTTTCCAAATTTAGTTCTGTTATTGATTTCTAATTTAATTATATTGTGGTGAGAGAACATACTTTGTATGACTGCAATCCTTTTAAATCTTCTGAAGCTTGTTTTATGGCCTAACATATGGCCTATTCTGAAGAATATTCCACATATACTTTGTAAGAATGTACAATATTATGTTGTTGAGTAAAATTTTCTTAATGTCTCTTAGGTTTACTTGGTTTATATTGTTGTTCAAGTCTTCTTTTTTATTGTTAATTATTAAGGATACATAATAGTTGTATATTTTTATAGGGTACTTGTGATGTTTTGATGCCAGCATACTATGTAGATTAATCAAATCAGGGTAATTGGGGTATCTGTCACCTCAGGCATTTATCATTTCTTTGTGTTAGGAACATTTCAATTCCACTCTTTTAGTTATTTTAAAGTATACCTAAACTTAGTGTTGATTATAGTCACTTTTTTGTGCTATCAAATATTATGCATTGTATTTAACTCTCTAACTATATTTTTGTACCCATTAAAAATCTCTACTTTGTCCTCTGCTCTCCGCTCCCCTTCCCATCCTGTGGTAACCATCTTTCTATACTTTCTTTCTATGAAATCAATTGTTTTTAATATTTATCTACCACACATGAAAGATTTATCTTTCTGTGCTTGGCTTATTTCATGTAACATAAATGTTCTCCAGTTCCATCCATGTTGTTGCAAATGGCAGGGCTTCATTCTTTTTTTGTGACTATATAATATTACATTGTGTACATGTACTACAATTTCTTTATCCATTGTTCATTGATTCCAAATGTGAATAATGCTGCAGTAATCCCTGGTATCATTTCATCTTCACACCTCTGAGGACATCTGATCTCACCCAGATGGGACAGTTGTACAGGCTCCTTCCTTATCTTGCAATACTAAGAGCCAATGGTGTTGTGCTTAAAAAGAACCCAGAAGAGGAGAACCTGCCATAAGTTCTAGAGGCCACAGGGGAAACCATGAGGCCCAACTTCCATGAGCTGGACCAGTACCTGGGACCCTACCTGTGTCATGCTCTCATGAGATGGATAATCCTGACCAGCTTCGGAAGAGGATGTATGATAGAGAAGCTGTGTTTTCACTGATCTGCTTCCTGTGTTCTCTGTGAAGCCCACTCAGGACTAGCGTGACAGAACCTGCTCTGCTGAATCCACAGCCCAGGTACTGGAGATGATGCTCAGAACAAGTTCTTTTAGACAGAATTTTCTCAAAGAGCACTTCACAGAGCTGCCCACACTCACGCATCCAGGTGGTTCTATACCAGCAGAGGCACTCAAGGCAAGGACCTGTGTTATGACCTGAAAAGGATCCCCAGCAGCCTTCAAGATAACCTTGATAAGTCCCAGTCTGCCTTCTCTGCTGCCTGTAGGGAACTCATACAGGATGTTGGAACATTAGAAATTGCCCCTGCACCTCTTGGCATGGGAAGCACCACCCCATACATCAGTCCCACCCTCTCCTGGTTCATTTGGGGCTCTATGGGCACTGTTTTTCATGGTGTAAGTTTTCCCTTCTACTCTGGTATCTCTGCCACAAAAAGATATAAAAAGCTGAGAACTCTCGACTTTGACCTATGACTCTGCAGTCCTTCTAAGGACTGAGCCCTCACAGTAGAGGAGCTCACTGAGGTTGTCCATACCACATAACTTTATGAGTGCATGAAGAAAGTTCTTTCTTTTTCTTTTCTTTTATTTTTTTATTTTTGAGACAGAGTCCCACTATGTGGCGGTCAGGAGAGTGCTGTGGCATCACACTTCACAGCAACTTCAAACTCTTAGGCTTAAGCAATTCCCTTGCCTCAGCCTCCCAAGTAGCTAGGACTACAGGTGCCCACCATAACGCCTAGATATTTTTGTTGTTGTTGTTGTTGTAGTTGTCATTGTTGTTTGGCAGGCCTGGGCCAAGTTCCAACCCACCAGCCCTGGGTATGTGGCTGGTGCCCTAGCCACTGAGCTACAGGCACTGAGCCCTCTTTCTTTTTGTTATTGCACATTATTCTATGATATTCTATTCTTTGTAGCTGCAGGCGTGGCCTTAATACTTCCTTCCTTCCCACGCAGTGTCTTACTAAGGCAGTGGTTCCTACTGGGCTCAGAAAAGTTGAAGACTGAGGCCAGGTACAATGGCTCATATGTGTAATCCTAGCACTTTGTGGGGCTAAAGCAAGAGAATAGCTTAAAGCCATGAGTTCAACACCAACCTGAGCAACATAGCAAGACTATCTCTACAAAAATTTTAATTAAAAAAATTAACCAGATGTGCACTGTATACCTGTAGTCGCAGCTACGCAGGAGGCTGAGGCAGGAGGATCGCTTGAGCCCAGTAGTTTGAGGTTGCAATGAGCTATGATAACACCATTGCACTTTAGCCCAGGCAACAAAGCCAAACTCTGTCTCAAAAAGAAAAAAAGGAAGAAAAAAAAGAAAAATTGAAACCTGAGCTCCCTCCTACCTTCATAGGTGAGTTCCTGCAGAAGGAAGAGGCCATACCTGATAACCATAAGGTAAGGGATTCAAGGGTTCCCCGGAGTAAATGATCCAAGAGAGAGCCAGGAGGACGCTCCAAGATGTTACATGCTGACATTTCTGCCACATTGTCTGTGGTAGAAGGAAGTCTTGGGTGGCGCCTGTGGCTCAAAGGAGTAGGGTGCTGGCCCCATATGCCAGAGGTGGTGAGTTCAAACCCAGCCCCAGCCAAAAAGAAAAAAGAAAGGCTCTAAATCTGGACCACATTCAAAGGAAGGGGGATTAGCTCCCACCTTATGAAGAGAGGAGTGTCAAAGAATTTGTGTATATATATTATTTTGTGTGTGTGTGTGTATATATAATATATATATATATAAACTACCATACATACTATTGGAATGTTTGCCTGTGGTAGGGGAGAATAATAGGAAAGGGATAAAAGAGAAAGGAAGGAAGAAGGAGGGAGGGGAGAGGGAGGAAGAAGGAAGGAAGGAAGGAAGGAAGGAAGGAAGGGAAAGAGGGAGTGGGGAGGGAGGAAAGAAAGGAAGTCTGTCTGTCAGGTATACACAAGAGGCCCTATGTATACCAAAGGTGACAGTATGCTATTAATTGAGATGTATGTTTCATTCTCTGTATCTGAGTAAAGCATTTCTTGGCATCCATCTTTTCCATTTCCTTTCCATACACTCACATATGCACATAAACCTTTGCACTTTTATCTTTTATTGTTTGGTGTTTTTTATCTGGCTGAGATCTTAATATACATATTGATCTATAACCAAGTTTTCTCACTTAACTATATCTTGAAGAGTTTTTTTCATGTCACTCTATGGACATGAGTTTTTTTTTTTATTACTATACATTATTCTATGGTATGGATATACCAAAAATTTATTTACTTTCCTACTGATGGACTTACCTTTCTTTTTTCCTTTCTCTCTGGTTGGCTGGGCATTGCTCACTACACATCTGCCTTTGTGCTTTCTCTTTGCTTATTTTGTCTCCACTGGAGTTCAAGCTTGGCGGACAATGGATGTGCACAGTGGTTTCTGCTGCAGGCAGAAGTTGCAACTTGAGGACAGCAGGGACTACTGTGGCAGATGCACCGTTCCTTCAACCTACCTGTAACTACCTACTGGAGGATATGATGCAACTCAGCAGATGTCATGGTCCTCAACTTCAAAGACCTCACATCTAGCATGAGGACAGACATATGAGTAACTCCCGGGAGGCAGAATAGCATAGAGTGAGGTGTAGCCTTCCAAATCCAGCCTGGGTTTTCATCCCACCCCACCACTTACTAGATGTTTAACAGTGGACAAGTGATTTCATCTCTCGCTATCTCAGTTTTCCCATGTCCAAAATGAGTCTCTTTTTCTCTTGCAAGGTTGCTCTGAGAAACAACTAAGATAGTATATATAAAGTGCTTAGCAGAGTGTGTGGCATTCGGTGATCTGTGAAGCCAAGGTGCTTAGGAAACTGGCCAGGCTGTGGTTGCACCAAACAGGGACACGCAGGCCCTGGGCTCTGTGGGGTTTGAGGAAGTCCTCACAAGTGAAGGGCACAACCCTGAAGGCTGAGCGGCCCTCCCTGGCAGAGCTGGGGGAGGGCATTCTGGGGCACGGAAGGGAGGTGTATAAACAGAGGATTGGAAATGGGAGGCATGTTTTGGGTTGGGAGTAGCACCTTATGGCTGGAAGGGCACCCTCGCCAGCAAGGAGAGAAAAGGTCTTGCAGGGATGTATGCAGGTAGCTTCTGGCACAGAGGAAGGAGGTTCAGGACCTGTCCATGGACTCAAGCCCCAATGGTGAAGTCTCAGGTCCACCACAGGACCACGGTCGGGGTTGGGGTAGCCCAGGAGGAGCTCCTTTCCCTCAGTCCTCCAGCCTTCTTCAGCATGGGCCTCCTCCCCCAGCTTGGCCACTCCTAGCATCCAGCACCCTCCTTCCCCCTGCTGGGTTCAGAGGCGGGTGGAGGTTTTTCGCGGGGGCTGTGCTTGGTGGGCAGTTTTCCCAGAGCAAGGAGTAAAGTAGAACTGAGTTGGCGCCAGCTTCCTCAGACCTAGACACGCTGGCTGGATGACCAGCCTGCCCAGCTAGCCTGAACCCAGGGGCCCCCTCAGGCGCTGTACCCTCGCCTTGTGGGGTACAGATCTGTGCCCTGGGGGTGGCATGTCACAGAGGGAGGTCAGAAGGACATCAGCAATGGCAGCAGTGGGGCATATTCAGTCTAAGGCCAAAGCACGGTTGCTGCCCGACCCAGACAGAAAGAGGAGCCGGCTCAGCAGGACAAGGCGGGACCTGTGGGGAGAGGCAAGCTGGAGCAACCACAGATGGAGCGGAGCCGCCCCTGGCCCCCTGAGGGCCAGGGAGAGGGGCCTGACTCTTGGCAGGGTAAGGAAATCCTGGACTTGCAGAGGGAGCTAGGGGAAGCAGGGGTGGAGGGCAGTAAAATGAGACAGAGTCCCACTCAGTATTACTGTGCCAGACCTAATGAGGGGACACTGGCCCCTTAGATCCCGAGGCACTGAGCTCAGGGTGGATGGGCTAAATCAGAGCTGGTCTTAACGAGGTGCAGCTCAGAGAGTGGACCCAACCCCCTTATCTTGAGGAAACTGAGGGCCAGAGGAGGGATGTGAGTTTCCCAAGGTCCTTGAGCAGTAGTCAGGGGCAGGGCCAGGACTTCAGTTGTTTTGACCCTGGTTTGGTGTCCTTTCCTCTTTACAACAGCCTCTTCCTCCTAGGACCTACCTGGGTCAAAGGTCACTGGCCCTCCCAAACAGGGTGTGGCTCTCAGTTTCCTGTGGCCCCAGGTCACCCTGACAAGCAGGATTGGGACTCGGGTATAGGATGGAGCAAGAACTTTAGGGTGGCCTTAGTGGAGTAGCAGAGAGAACACAGGCGGACCTCTCCCATCCTGGGGCCATGTGACTCCAGGGCAGGCCTTCCCTCAACCTCCTCAGCTGTAAAAAGGGGAGCAGTAAGAATGACGAAGGTGGTCTAAGGCCCTTTGGTGGCTGCTTTTCATACCCTATACTCTGGCAAGTGACCTTGTGTTAGAATGTTCATAGAAGTCAGGAGCAGATGGGGGTCCTGGCCAGATCCACTCACCAGGGCCCTCTGTGCAGAGCGAGTCCAGCCCTGAGAACGCTGCCCGAGAGCGGAGCCGGGTAAGGACACTGCGCCAGGCCTTCCTGGCCTTGCAGGCCACTCTGCCTGCCGTGCCACCTGACACCAAGCTCTCCAAGTTGGACGTGCTGGTGTTGGCCGCCAGCTACATCGCCCACCTCACCCGCACACTTGGCCACGAGTTGCCCAGCCCCGCCTGGCCACCCATCCTGCGTGGACTCCGCTACTTGCACCCTCTCAAGGTAGGCCACAACCCTGGGACTTGGGTGTGAGGATCTTATGCCCAGGGCCTTAGGGAAGGGGGTCAGGATGGGTGGACACTGGACTTGGGCCCCCAGTCCTGGACAGAGCTGACACTGGGGCCAACTTCTTCAGCTATCACAGAGGGAAAAAGGCTCTTGGGGCTGGACTCACCCTTGTTCTCAAGGGATGGTGGCTGGAAATGGCTTCACGGACTCTGGGATTCTTAGTGTCAGGGGCATGAAAAGGAGCAGGTCCCAGGGCTGGGGGCTGGGAAAGGAACCACAACTAGGAGAGTCCTAGATCTCTGTGCAGCTTCACCTCATTGTACAACACCTGTCTCAGAGTTCTCTGAGCTTCTGTTGCAGGTGAGATCTGCCCTCCAGTAGGACACTGGTTTAAGAGAGCATCACTCTAGAGGCAACCAGGCTGGAGACAGGGGGCAGAGGGGTAGCAATATGGAGACAAGGTTGAGAGGTCCCTGCATGCACCACTGCCAGACTGCACCCCAACTTTCCTGAACCTCAGTTTTATTATGCATCAAACGGGAACCAACAGGAGCCTTACTTCTCTTCCAGAGTACAAAATGAGATGATAAATGGAAAACATAATTGGCATTAATCACCACTGAAATATCAACTAACATTATTTGTGTGTTTAACCCAGGAGCTGGGTTAAGTGCCATAGAGTATTTTTATCTTTTAATCTGTGGGAGAACCAAATGCAGATTACTTCACAGATGAGGAAACCAAGGCTTAGGGAGGTTAAGAGGCTGAACAAAGTTTGAACCCATGGATGTCTGACTTTAGATCCCATGTTCACAGCCACTGAGCAGACTGCAGGGGTGGCACCGCCAGGAACTGGTGGCAGAATGTGTTATAAAGAAAGGCTTACTTGTGCACTCTGACAATAACATTGTGGGGTCAACTTTATTTTTATGGAGGATACTTTTCACTATCTCTTTCCCCTAAATGTCATAGTTAGACAGGTAAAGAGAGAAAGAAAGAGAGAGAGAGAGAAAGATAGATCTTGAAACTTGAGATTTTCTTCATTCATGCAAATATACCTAAAATGCAAGAATATGGGATGAAATGGGGCGATTCTGAAATGTCAATGGTGACACCAGATGCAGGGTCCCAGGCTAGTAATTTCCTTAGGTGTAAACTGGCAACAAAGTGAAGGCCCTGGCATGCAGTGGGTGACCATAAATACTCTGAGGAATGAATGAATGAGAACTCAGAACTCAGGCAGATTGATGGGAGAGGGAAGGTAGTTAGCTGGAAAGCACCACCCTCAGCCCCCGGCTCAGGGGGGCTGCCAGAGAGAAGGGCAGATCTTAGGGCAGAGTCATTTTGGAATTTTCTGGAACTGCCCACGCTTCTGATGAAAGGGTGGACAAGCCTTGCAGGACCCTACTTAGAGGGGGGTTTTCCCAGCTCCGCTGCTCTGCGTATTGCCCAGCCCCTGGCTGTTGACAGCGCTTCCCAGACCCAGAGGGGACCTCCTGTCCCCTCCCTTCACCCTCCTGAGTGCTGCTGCTCTGAAGGACCTCACTCTCCTCAGATGGCTCCTCCTATATCTCTCCAACCTGCTCTGGATGGGGAAATACGGGGTGGTGAGCCAAAAACCCCCTGCTATCAGAGCACTGGCAGCTGGGAAGGGATACTAGGGAAGGCCAAGCTGTACAAGAGCTGCAATAGTAGCATCGCTCACTTCCCATTCCATCTGTGTCTTGCAGAAGTGGCCAATGCGATCTCGTCTCTATGCTGGAGGCCTAGGGGGCTCTGGCCTTGACTCCACCACAGCCACTGCATCAGGCCAAAGAACAAGAAATGCAGAGGTGGCGCCCCAAGTCTCTGGAAAGGCAGATGCTTTCCTTCCCACCAAGCCACTCTCGCCAGCTCTTGGTGCCAAGTGATCATCACACTCACCCTTTTCTCCTAGACTGCACCTCACACTTAGGGACCTGGACTTTCTACCAGCCTTACCTGTCTTCACTCTGACTCTCAGCCATCAGGTTTGGCTCAGGCTCAGCTCCAGGGTCCAGTACACAGACCAAGCGAAGGAGTGGGCACTTCTGTGGTGGAGAGTGCAGAAGAACACAGAACACAAGGAGGTCCCCCTTCTTGTCCCCCAGAATGGGTCTCCCAGGTTCTTCTATGGCAGCTACCGGGACATGGGAGTGGAAGGGGTTAATTGGTTTCAAAGTTGAGTTAGGGCACTGCTCCTAGCTTCTCTCCCCTTGGTTTCTACAAAACCTCTGCAGATATGGAGAAGATCATGCAGGAAGGACAGCACCAGTCCCAGGTACTGACAGGAAGGCCAGAGGCCTGAGAGGCTCTTGGTGGCTGAGGTCCCACGGCTAGAGGGGAAACTGAAGAATGGAATGTGCTGTCTTCTTATTTTTATTTACCCAACAGTCAAAGAGGCAGAGAGGAATTCGGGATTCCTGTCTCTGCATTGTGGGTCTCTCAGCTGCGCCTCACCCCTGCATGCTCTCCCTCCCTGAGCTCCTGCACCCTTCCCCTCTTTCCTTCACATAAGTTATAGCTACAGATTAGGCCGTAAGGCTTACATTGCTTACACTGCAATTTCCAGAGAAACTTTTAGATCGTCCCAGCTGCCCAGTTTAAGGAGATTTTATCCTAGAGGCAGCTCTACCTTATCGGAACCAAGCAGCAACACAAGGCCTTACATACGAAGGACACTGAGACTCCATCACATCCTCTAAGGACCTTAAAAGAAGAATGTGTATCAGCGTTTTCCACAGGCTGATAATCACTGTCTTCTCTTTCCATTATGGTAGAGACCTGAGCTGAAGGAAAAATAAGGCTTAGATTCAGTGGGTTCCTTATTGCCAGAGGCTTCACTAGCCCTGGAGTTATTTTTCTCTAGTCTGTCCACAAATTAGCTCCGTAGGGCCAGCTCATCCTTTTAGAGAGACGCCCTCCAAGGCTTTCCCTAAATCCTGCCATGGGTACCAGAAATGTGATACAGCTTTAATTAAGTTCACCTTTGGCCTTGAAGAAATCATTTGAGGACTAATCACAGAGTCTACCCTCACTGAAAGTAACTTTCCAGATCAGATGCAACTTCAAGCCTGGCACCTGATGTCCAGACAGGGAAGAAGTTACCTTTTCTTGAAATTTTGGTGCTTCAGAGTAGGAGATGAGTGAGGCAGACTAGAGTGCCTACAGGGTTATCCTAAGACACAAGCCACCATTGTTATTAAGAATGTAAATGAGAGGGCGGTTCCTGTGGCTCAAAAGGGTAGGGCACTGGTCCCATATGCTGGAGGTGGCAGGTTCAAACACAGCCCCAGCCAAAAAAAAAAAAAAAAGAAGAAAGAATGTAAATGAGGTCTGGGCTGGCTAGTGTGGCTGGGGTCTGGCTCTGACACCACGACCCCCATTCAGGGCTGGCCAAGACAGCAGGGGAAAGAAAGCAAAAGGGGTGACTCAGAGTGTTGGGGTGGAGGTAGAAAAGAAGACACAGAATGTCCCAGCCCCAAGCTGATACGATGTGGGAGAACAGCTGGCTTGTGGCTGGGAGCCACGAGGTGAAGGCCTCAGCCAAGGCTGAACTCGTAAATCTGCCTGGGACAAAGTCTCTGCTGAGAGACCTGAGTGAGCTTATGCAGAGCTGCTCTGGGCAGCTGGACAGGGCCATGCAGGGGCAGAGACCAGGTGTGGGAGGGCACGATCACAGTGTTCTTCACAACATCATAAAAGTCCAGCTAGAATGTTCTATTTTTAAAGCCAAATAGCAGTATCTTCCAGATTGTGTTCCGGGATGATAAGAAGAAGAGAAGATGAATTTACTCCCCAGTGGGTGGTACACAGTCTTTATCTGGGGATGAAGGGGAACCGGCTTTGGGCATGTGTTAGGATCCCCCAAAGTGTGGACCTTCTCCTGATAACTGGTATGCTGCTTGCCCTATCCCTGCCTGCTCAGACTCAAGCCTTTGCCTGCTGATATTAGACCCCCCCCACCCCGGGTGACTGCATGGCCTTGGTAGAGAAGACAAGGAGGGCACAGGAAGGGTGAAGCAGGTGGAGGGCTGAGGAAGAGCAGGTCCATTCATTACAAGTTTCTCAGGCTGCCTTGGGCTCTTCCCTAGCAAAGTTGTTCTCCTTAGTGCCTGGGACACTCCTGTGGGGTGCAGAGGTCATCTCCTCCAGCTGGACAGCACCCAGCCAGTCAGACCAGGGAGCAAGAGGGCCTGGTGGGGTAAGGGGAAGCCAAGGGGAGGCCCACAGAGAATGGGAGTCTCCAGAGGAGAGAGTGGGCCCCTCTCCCTGGCAAGCACCATGCTGCCCTTGAGACATGTCAGCTCAGGCACTCGGATCTACAAATGAACAGAACCAGGAGTAATCCCCTTTGTCTCTGAAGCAAAGGAAGAAAAACACCTGCTCACCAGAAGGCTCTTACTCCCACCAAGGCTAAGAGCATAGGGCAAACAGGAGCAGTGGGAGCAGCTGAGATTCAGATTTCACAACCTGCATTGGCTTTTATTCCCTAGGAACAAGGGTATTGTGGGAAAGAAGCTCCAAAAGGAAACAGGAGTGGGGACAACAAATGGCACTAGGGTATCCTATCCTGGCTTGGCAGTGAGGGATGATGTCCCATGGGGGGCCTGGCCTTGTTTTTTTGTTTTGTTGTTTTGTGTTTGAGACTCTCACTCTGTCACCCTAGGTAGATGTCATGGTGCCATAGTTCACGGCAACCTCAACCTCTTGGACTCAAGTGATCCTCTTGCCTCAGCCTTCCAAATAGCTGGGACTACAGGCACCTGTCACAACACCCAGCTAGTTTTTCTGTTTTTAGGAGAGACAGGGTCTTGCTCTTGCTCAGGCTGGTCTTGAACTCCTGAGCTCAAGCAATCCACCTGCCTCAGCCTCCCAGAGTTCTAGGATGACAGGCATGAGTCACCCTGGTTTTCTGGCACCATCTGTCCCATTCCTAGCTACCCAAGACTCAAGGTGAGGCTGGAGACAGATGAGGAGGAGGTCTTCCCCATCACCACCCTGCACAGAGCTTCTGTGCCTATGCTTTCTCATGACCAGGGTAGCAAAGGCAGGGGCTTATATGGGGCTGTGGGAGAAGCAGATCTAAGTATTATGGTGGAGACCAAAATGGGATCCAGAGAAATTAGAAGCAGACAATCTAGTCTTCTCTGAGAAACTCCTTTTCCCCTCCTCTGGGAGGAGCCTAACTGGGATGGGTCAGGTGGCACCTCCCTTTTGTGGCATAAGCCCTGAACCCAGGGCCCATGCAGGCTTACTCTGTTCTAGATCAGGGGTAGGCCAACTATGACCTACGGGCTTAATCCAGCCCCCCCCCCACCTATTTACTGGAATATAACCACACTCATTTGTTTAAGTATTACTTACGGTGCTTTCCAGACATCCTTGCAGAGTTAAAAAGCTGAGACAAAGACTGAAAAGCCTAAAATATCTATCTTCTGGCCCTTACAAAGTTTGCTGTCCCGTGCTCCAGATCACAGGTATTCAAAGTGTGGCCTGGGAACCCTGGGTGGGGGGTGTCTCTGAGACCCTTACAGTGCTCTAAGTGGCCAAAACTATTTTCATAATTTTTTTTTTTGAGACAGAGCCTCAAGCTATCCCCCTGGGTAGAGTGCCGTGGCATCACAGCTCACAGCAACCTCCAACTCCTGGGCTCAAGCGAGTCTCCTGCCTCCGCCTCCCAAGTAGCTGGGACCACAGGCACCCGCCACAATGCCCAGCTATTTTTTGGTTGCAGCGGTCATTGTTGTTTGGCAGGTCTGGGCTGGATTCAAACCCACCACCTTAGGTGTATGTGGCTGGCGCCTTGAGTCACAGACGCCGAGCCTATTTTCATAATGTTAAAAGTTCTTTGAGTTTTTTCACTTAGTCTCTTGAGAGTGTGGTAGAATTTTCCAGAAGCTTCATGACGTGATATTGTAACAGATGGAATGTAGAAGCAGATATTGTGGCAGACATTAAAGATACTTGCAAAAATGTAAAGCGCTACTACCTTCTCACTATATATTTCCCAATATGGAAAATTATTTTGCATAAAACCATTATATATGTTCATGTAGAAGGGGTTAACTCAGATTATTTTAGAATAATTTTTTAAATTCTCTATTTTAATTTTTTGTGATGCCTCCAATAGATAGAACACACATAAGCAAAATAGCTATAGGGTTCTACTTTTTTTTTTTTATTTCTTGTAGAGATGAGGACTTGATATTGCTCAGGCTGGTCTCAAACTCCTGGCCTCAAATGATCCTCCGTCTGCCTCCCAAAGTGCTGGGATTATTGGTGAGAGCCACTGCACCCAGCCCACCTTTCTTAGAATGTAAAAGGGTCCTGAGGCCAAATATTTTAGAACTTTAGCTCTAGAATAAGCTGGTGATGGTCAATGAAAGCTCCTGCCCTCAGCCACACCCCTGTACCATGACAGCTCTGCCCTCTGCCCAGAGTAGGCACAGTGAGGCTGTCCTGGCTTAGAGAGGCAGCAGGCTCAGGTGAAGGGCAGTGCCAGACAGTGAGGAGTGGGGTTGTGGGAGAAGCACATCTAAGTATTATGGTGGAGACCAAACTGGAATCCAGAGAAGTTAGAACCAGACAATCTAGTCTTCTCTAAGAAACTCCTTTTCCCTTCCTCTGGGAGAAGCCTAGCTGGGATGGGTCAGGTGACACCTCCATTTTGTGGCATAAGCCCTAAACCCAGGGCCCAAGTAGGCTTACTCTGTCCTAGATCAGAGGTCAGCCAACTATGACCTATGGGCCTAAGCCAGCCCCCCTGCCTATTTACTGGAATATAGCCAGAGTCTAGGGTCCTGAGTTCACCTCACAAGGAGGTCTCCTAGAGGAAGACCTCCTGTTCTTTGGGGCTGTTCCCCTGGTGGACCCAGTGGTCCAGCACATCTGCTTCCTTGTCTCTGCTGTCCCTCAGCACATCATTCCCCGTCTTCTCCATGGGGAGAAGGCCTCA